TTACAAAGAGACTTAGACTCCCATACAATAATAATGGGAGACTTCAACACTCCCACTGTCAACATTAGACAGATCAACGAGACAGAAAGTTAACAAGGCTATCCAGGAATTGAACTCATCTCTGCAGCAAGCAGACCTAATAGACATCTATAGAACTCTCCACCCCAAATCAACAGAATATACATTCTTCTCAGCACCACATCGTACTTACTCCAAAATCGACCACGTAATTGAAGTAAAAGAAGCACTCCTCAGCAAATGTACAAGAACAGAAATTATAACAAACTGTCTCTCAGACCACAGTGCAATCAAACTGGAACTCAGGACTAAGAAACTCAATCAAAACCGCTCAACTACATGGAAACTGAACAACCTGCTCCTGAATGACTACTGGGTACATAACGAAATGAAGGCAGAAATAAAGATGTTCTTTGAAACCAATGAGAACAAAGAGACAACATACCAGAATCTCTGGGACACATTTAAAGCAGTGTGTAGAGGGAAATTTATAGCACTAAATGCCACAAGAGAAAGCAGGAAAGATCTAAAATTGACACTCTAACATCGCAATTAAAAGAACTAGAGAAGCAAGAGCAAACACATTCGAAAGCTAGCAGAAGGCTAGAAATAACTAAGATCAGAGCAGAACTGAAGGAGATAGAGACACAAAAAACCCTCCAAAAAATCAATGAATCCAGGAGTTGGTTTTTTGAAAAGATCAACAAAATTGACAGACCACTAGCAAGACTAATAAAGAAGAAAAGAGAGAAGAATCAAATCGACGCAATTAAAAATGATAAAGGGAATATCACCACCGACCCCACAGAAATACAAACTACCATCAGAGAATACTATAAACACCTCTACGCAAATAAACTGGAAAATCTAGAAGAAATGGATAATTTCCTGGACACTTTCACTCTTCCAAGACTAAACCAGGAAGAAGTTGAATCCCTGAATAGACCAATAGCAGACTCTGAAATTGAGGCAATAATTAATAGCCTACCAACCAAAAAAAGTCCAGGACCAGATGGATTCACAGCTGAATTCTACCAGAGGTACAAGGAGGAGTTGGTACCATTCCTTCGGAAACTATTCCAATCAATAGAAAAAGAGGGAATCCTCCCTAACTCATTTTATGAGGCCAACATCATCCTGATACCAAAGCCTGGCAGAGACACAACAAAAAAAGAGAATTTTAGACCAATATCCCTGATGAACATCGATGCAAAAATCCTCAATAAAATACTGGCAAACCGGATTCAGCAACACATCAAAAAGCTTATCCACCATGATCAAGTGGGCTTCATCCCTGGGATGCAAGGCTGGTTCAACATTCGCAAATCAATAAACATAATCCAGCATATAAACAGAACCAAAGACAAGAACCACATGATTATCTCAATAGATGCAGAAAAGGCTTTTGACAAAATTCAACAGCCCTTCATGCTAAAAACGCTCAATAAATTCGGTATTGATGGAACATACCTCAAAATAATAAGAGCTATTTATGACAAACCCACAGCCAATATCATACTGAATGGGCAAAAACTGGAAAAATTCCCTTTGAAAACTGGCACAAGACAGGGATGCCCTCTCTCACCACTCCTATTCAACATAGTGTTGGAAGTTCTGGCTAGGGCAATTAGGCAAGAGAAAGAAATCAAGGGTATTCAGTTAGGAAAAGAAGAAGTCAAACTGTCCCTGTTTGCAGATGACATGATTGTATATTTAGAAAACCCCATTGTCTCATTCCAAAATCTCCTTAAGCTGATAAGCAACTTCAGCAAAGTCTCAGGATACAAAATTAATGTGCAAAAATCACAAGCATTCTTATACACCAGGAACAGACAAACAGAGAGCCAAATCAGGAATGAACTTCCATTCACAATTGCTTCAAAGAGAATCAAATACCTAGGAATCCAACTTACAAGGGATGTAAAGGACCTCTTCAAGGAGAACTACAAACCACTGCTCAGTGAAATCAAAGAGGACACAAACAAATGGAAGAACATACCATGCTCATGGATAGGAAGAATCAATATTATGAAAATGGCCATACTGCCCAAGGTAATTTATAGATTCAATGCCATCCCCATCAAGCTACCAATGAGTTTCTTCACAGAATTGGAAAAAACTGCTTTAAAGTTCATATGGAACCAAAAAAGAGCCCGCATCTCCAAGACAATCCTAAGTCAAAAGAACAAAGCTGGAGGCATCACGCTACCTGACTTCAAACTATACTACAAGGCTACAGTAACCAAAACAGCATGGTACTGGTACCAAAACAGATATAGACCAATGGAACAGAACAGAGTCCTCAGAAATAATACCACACATCTACAGCCATGTGATCTTTGACAAACCTGAGAGAAACAAGAAATGGGGAAAGGATTCCCTATTTAATAAATGGTGCTGGGAAAATTGGCTAGCCATAAGTAGAAAGCTGAAACTGGATCCTTGCCTTACTCCTTATATGAAAATTAATTCAAGATGGATTAGAGACTTAAATGTTAGACCTAATACCATAAAAATCCTAGAGGAAAACCTAGGTAGTACCATTCAGGACATAGGCATGGGCAAAGACTTCATGTCTAAACACCAAAAGCAACGGCAGCAAAAGCCAAAATTGACAAATGGGATCTCATTAAACTAAAGAGCTTCTGCACAGCAAAAGAAACTACCATCAGAGTGAACAGGCAACCTACAGAATGGGAGAAAATTTTTGCAATCTACTCATCTGACAAAGGGCTAATATCCAGAACCTACAAAGAACTCAAACAAATTTACAAGAAAAAAACAAACAACCCCATCAAAAAGTGGGCAAAGGATATGAACAGACATTTCTCAAAAGAAGACATTCATACAGCCAACAGACACATGAAAAAATGCTCATCATCACTGGCCATCAGAGAAATGCAAATCAAAACCACAATGAGATACCATCTCACAGCAGTTAGAATGGCAATCATTAAAAAGTCAGGAAACAACAGGTGCTGGAGAGGATGTGGAGAAATAGGAACACTTTTACACTGTTGGTGGGATTGTAAACTAGTTCAACCATTATGGAAAACAGTATGGCGATTCCTCAAGGATCTAGAACTAGATGTACCATATGACCCAGCCATCCCATTACTGGGTATATACCCAAAGGATTATAAATTATGCTGCTATAAAGACACATGCACTCGTATGTTTATTGCAGCACTATTCACAATAGCAAAGACTTGGAATCAACCCAAATGTCCATCAGTGACAGATTGGATTAAGAAAATGTGGCACATATACACCATGGAATACTATGCAGCCATCAAAAAGGATGAGTTTGTGTCCTTTGTAGGGACATGGATGCAGCTGGAAACCATCATTCTTAGCAATCTATCACAAGAACAGAAAACCAAACATGGCATGTTCTCACTCATAGGTGGGAACTGAACAATGGGATCACTTGGACTCAGGAAGGGGAACATCACACACAGGGGCCTGTCATGCGGAGGGGGGAGGGGGGAGGGATTGCATTGGGAGTTATACCTGATGTAAATGACAAGTTGATGGGTGCAGCACACCAACATGGCACAAGTATACATATGTAACAAACCTGCACGTTATGCACATGTACCCTACAACTTAAAGTATAATAATAATAAATAAATTAAAAAAAAAAAAAAGACAGAAACAGTTACTTTTAATGGGTTGTTTTTATTGTTTTATTTGTTGTTTACTGGAATAAATATCTAGGAAGCAGTATACTGAACATCTGCTGGTTGATTTTCTTTTAGAATCTCCACTTTTGACTTGGCTAGGGAAACATTTTCTTTCTGAAGTTGAAGGGTACAGAAGGTTGCCCAGGTTGAAATTAGACTCTGGGCGGTGAGACTACCTGGAGCTCACCTGGAGAGTTGTAAGGCTTTCACCTGCTCAGTTGTCTTGGGAGCTTGTTCTTACTCTTTCAAAGGCCAATCTGGAAAATAAAAGCCTCTATGAGATTCCATGTCATGCGGGCTAATCTGACCAAAGGGACTTAGAGCAGCCATGAAGGCCAAGGAATTCCTGAGTGTTCCCTGGTCAGATTTCCTTGTAACTCACAAGGGGTCTGTAAGGAAAACAGATTGTCTAATTAATTCCTGATCTTGTCTCCTCAGGGTTCCTTCCCAATTCCCAGTCACTTCATGACACAGCTGCAATATATTTGCCTCTTCTCCAAACCTATACTGAAAGCTTTTAAGAAACAAAAGAAAGAGCATGAGACTTGGGATTGCACACATGTGGAACTTTAGGTCCAGGCTGCCCCTGAATGAAGCTGATTAAATTCCTTAACTTCTCATAGACTTGCTTCTTAATCAGTGTAGTGTATATCATTATAATAATGTACATTTACTGTTTAAATTTATGCATAGACCTAGCTAGCATTAAGCAAAAAGTTACTTATCTTTTGGAGTCTCACCTTGGCCACCTGTAACATAGAAATGTAAATAGCCTCACCTTCTGGAGTCATAGTGAGGAGTAGAGGGGACATACACACTTTTCACAGTGCTTGCACATAAGAGGTACTCAGTAGGTAATTGTTGAATGAATGACTGACTAGGAGGACAAGGTTCCTTTTCAGTACCGTGGCTTCTGTCCTTGTTGATTGAAATGCACTGAGAAGAAACTCGTCTGTATTGCCTCCAGATTCTAAGTTCTCCTACCACTCTGTACTTGCCCTTATAGCACTCATCACAACTTTGCCTAAATAATTATGTATTTAAATGCTTAATGTCTGACTCTCTCTCAAGAATGGAAATGCCGTGTCTGAGGCCATATCTGTCCTGTTCACCCACCATGTAGCTCAATGTTTATTAGTATACTGTTAGCGCTAAAAATGTTCGTTGGATGAATAAATAACAAATGGCTACCAGTTAGATAGTGGTACCTCTTTTATTTCTACTTTTGAGATGTTTTGTGACTGTCTTTGCAGATCTACTTGGTCTTCATTTGGTTTTTACGCTTGCTTACTATAGGTGGAGGAACTGCAATGTCTGGTGGAGAACAGAAACCAGAGAGGTACTATGTGGGTGTGGACGTTGGAACAGGCAGTGTCCGCGCAGCTCTGGTGGACCAGAGTGGGGTCCTGTTGGCTTTTGCAGACCAGCCAATTAAGAAGTGGGAGCCCCAGTTCAACCACCACGAGCAGTCCTCTGAGGACATCTGGGCTGCGTGCTGTGTTGTTACAAAGGTATGGGCAAAACTGATGTTCTCTCCTTGTTCATGTTCCTACCTGCTGAGTGTTTGTCCTGTGTCATTCTGGTGCCACAAACTATGTTGGGGTAACTTTAGATGCAGAGGTAAATAGGCCTTGCCCTTCAGGAGCTCACAGTCTACTGGCAGAGACTGATAAACCACTAATATATGGTAAGAGCTGGGAGCAAAGTAACTATAGCTGGAGCTGGGGAAAGAGCTAACCGAAGGGGGCTCAGGGAAGACAGGACAGCTTGAGGTGTGACCACATGTGAAAGAATTCACTGATCACCTTACTACCATTTACCGTGCCTTTAATGTGTGCCAAAGGCTGTGTAAAATGTGTTAAGTTGCACTGTGTAGTTGGATCTTCACATGACCCTATAAAGGTAGTACTATCACTACCCCCATTTTATTGAGGGAGAAATGTAGGCACAGAAAAGTTAGGTAACTTACTCAAGTTCACACAGTACATAGCAGAGGCTGGACTAGAACAAAGCAGTCTGACTCCAGAGGTGCACTCTTTTTTTTTTTTTAAATTAAAAAAAAGTTCTGTGGGTTTTTGGGGAACAGGTGGTGTTTGGTTACATAAGTTCTTTAGTGGTGATTTCTGAGATTTTGGTGTACCCATCACCCAAGCAGTGGGCACTGTACCCAATGTGTAGTCTTTCATTCCTCACCACCCCACAACGCTTTCCTCCGCGTCCCCAAAGTCCAATGTATCCTTTTTATACCTTTGCCTCAAAGGTGCACTCTTAATCAGTGGACTCTCCTGCCTTCCAAGTGGACAAATGGGGATGGGAGGAACTGCATTTTGGGCAGAGGGAATAGCATATGCAAAAGCATGGTGGCATGAAAACATGGTGTGTTCTGAGAAAGCAAAGAAGTCAGACTGGAGTGTCTCCCATTGATGCCAGGCATGTGTTCACCTTGAGTGGCCTTAGATTGGATGCAGCCTGCTGGCTTGGGAAGGGAAGCAGTGCTTCACAGTTCTTGTTTGTTTTTAAAGTTTCACTTGACTTTGATTTTATATCTTGGTGATCAGTCATGGCAGAGATCCTTTTGTCTTTTTTTCCATAGGGAAAAATAAAGTCCTGGATTCCTTCTTTCCCCTGTTCCTAGTTTAGTTCCTTAAATATTCATGAAGTGCTTGGTAATTTGCCGATGGACAATTCACCATTCTGTCCCTATTGATCAGTCTGTTTAAACTTTAATGAATTCTGGGCTGCTGTTAGTGGCCCCGGAGAAGAAGGCAGAGGGAGGAGGGAGTGGGTAGGCAGTATCAGAGCATTATCCAGGAATGAAAGGGGGATGCATCTTCTCATTTGCCCGTTTAATTTTCCTCTCTTCTCCCCTTCTTTCAGCCCCAATCTGGTAAGAATCTTCGACTCTTTGCACTTGGTCTTCTTTGTTCTTTTAACATACAGCCTTGCTTGCCATTAAAGAAATTATCAAGAAGAAAATATAATCCCCTGATGAAAAGCTACTTTAAAAAAGGTCTACTCTGAGTACAGCTTGGTTTAATGGTAGATTTTTAATCATCTTCCAGTGGTGGCCAACTTATCATCTGTTTGAGCCCTGTTAGCTGCATAAGTACTGTGGGCATTTGTCGTTAACAATGCTGTTAACACTATAGCAAACCTGAATGAAGCTCTTGGGTCTTAGGCGATTCTCCTCACATGGAGTATGGATATGTGAGCATGTGCCAGAAGCCACGGGATAAGCATGTTACATCTATGTGGAATATCATTGCTGCTGTGAGGCTTAAGGAAGGAAGCATTTTTATGTTAGAGAGGTAGTAACACCGTAGGAATGAGAGAGGTAGGCGACCTGTCATAGAGCACAGATTCTGCAGCCAGACTGTCTGGATGGACATCCCACTTACAATGTTTATTAGTCTGTGATCTTGGACAAGTTACCTAATGTTTCCTGCCTCAGTTTCCTTATCTGTAAAATGGAAATGATATTAGTACCTACTTCCGTAGGATTGTTGTGAGGATTAAATGAATTAATGCACATAGAATGTCACAACATTGCCTAGAAACGTGTATTGGTTGTTTCCTATGGTGGTGCTGATGGTGACAGAAAAGAGCAGATTATAGAGGATAATGAATTTCTAAGATAAAATACTGAAAAGTCAAAGTCCACGACGGGAGGCGCTTCTTGGGAATATTCACTCACTCTCCTGGTTAGGGTGCTTTCTATGTAAGACTTTGAGAAACACTGGTCTAGGGCAAAGGGTGGCATAAAACATGTCCTGGTCTGTCTTTTCTTCCTCATGGACCCCAGGAAGTTGAGAGCTCGAGAGCAGTTGTTCTACTTCCTTTTCCCTAAGTCATTCACATTGCCTGAGATGACTTTCCTCTTAGTTAAAGCAGCAGTAAGGATAATGTGGTATCAATGATGATGACAAAGACAGCTAACAGTTCTTGGGCACAGTGGTCCAGGTACTATACTGAAGAGCTTTACCCATCACTTCGTTTTATCCTTACGACAACTACTTTTTAAGGTAGTTTTGATCTCTCTGTTTTGAAGATGGAAAAAGAATGAGCCTTGAAGAGGTTCAGTAAGCAGCCTAAGGACTCCTGAATAAGAAGAAGAAAGGGACGCTGCCCCTGCCACTGCTGCCGCTCTTGTGCTCTGTTCCTTGTCTCTCTCCAGTCATATCTCCCTCCACATGACCCCACCTGGAACTGATAAGAAGCAGCCTGAAGTTTTTAGATTTTCTACACATGGGGCATCGTGAGGTTACCCAGGATTATGAGTGCCTTTACCTGGTTGCCTGCTCATCTGGGAAGTGTGTGCCCGCTAAGCAGGGGTTATATCTAGTTTATCTGTATTTCTCTAGAATTCTTTGCTTGTAATGTGTTCAAGTAATGTTTGTTGAGTACATAAATGAATGATATATCTCTGTTGTTTACATTGTCTGGAATACTCTTCTCTTACCTTCCTCACCTGCCCAACTCCCACCTTATAAAGTAAACTTAAACATTCCTGTCTCCTGAGTGTCTTCTTTGGTGACTTCTGACAGTCTATGCCCTTTTTTACCAACCTCAGAGGAAAGAGATGGTGAGAAGCCCTTCTCTACTGTCCAGTGCCCACCATCTTCACCCAGATCATTATCTACTCCTTATCTTTGCATTTTACTTGTTGACTTGTTTAGTCCCTTTTAAACTATAAGCTGAGCTCTTAGAGAGATTCATCTTTGTGTCTCCAGTATCTAACACATTGCCAGGCACAAATTAGGTGCTCAATTAATGGCTGTTGAATGAATGTTACTTAGAGCTAAAAACAAAGAGACAAAATCCAATCTAGCCTTCCTTATCTGGTTTCAGTGTCACTGTGGGGCAGGAAGGACAACTATTCTTCTTATTTGAAATATGAGGAAATTGAGGCTCTGGAACTAACAAGTATTAGAGACAAGACCAGAACCCTGGTGAGATGGCTCCAAACCTTCCTCTCTGTCTTCCTCCCCACATCCCCTGAATTTGGCAGGTTTTATTCGGCTGGTACCCAGCACACCAAGGAAGTTTTATGGAAACTCACGAGTCATAGAGGTGATACACAGTCCATGATTTTAAAGATTCCTTTATGGAGTCACAAATCTTAATCATTCCAAAAAGGCGAGAACATTTCAAATTAGTGCATGATTCATATTAAACTTCTATTAGGAAGAAAGAGAAGGTAAACTGGAGGTATCATTTAGCCAACAGGTGTTTGTTGAGTATCATTCTTTCATTTAGTCTGCAAACATTTATTGAGCACCTACTATGTGCTATGCTGTTTGCTAAACATTGGAGCATCTAGAGGAGAGGTATACAAGAAGTCTGCTGCTTTTAAAGATGAAACAGCTTAGTTTTATGAGAAAAATAAACAACACATATGAAGCCAGTAAAGTAGCATTTTATTCTATCTTTGTACTGTCTATATGAGTAATGGTTGTGGGGAGGGGGACAGAAGAAAGAGTAGCCACATGTGGGGTTGAGCAATAAGGTTAACCTTATATTCATAGAACCATTATGGTTTACAGTGCATCTTCATTTACATTTGATTGCCATTGCAGGGTGAAGTAGGGAAGGAGTTGTTATTCCCATTTACATTTGAAAATCTGAAAGCCAGAGAGTTAAGTGATTTCCCCACGGTCACCCAGGTGGTATGTGATAAGGCAGAACTCAGGTGGGTCAAACCTATTCATTCTCTCTATCTCTAGCACCATATACCTTTATATTTTGCATGGAATATTATTCTAAGAACCTAACTGATGTCTTGATATTCATTTTTCTTTTCTCTATTCTTTCATTTGAAGTGGTATTTTTCCTCTAGTGCTAACTTGTTATGTTACTCTTTTGCTTACAACCCTTCATCTACTATCACACTACTACAGGCATAAGTTCAGTTCCAGACCACCATAATGAGGCAAATATTGCAATAAAGTTCACATGAATTTTTGAGTTTCTCAGTGCATATAAAAGTTATGTTTACATTATATTGCAGTCTATTAAGTGTGCAATAGCATTAGTCTAAAAAAAGTACATAATTTAATTTTTAAAAATTGCCAAAAAATGTGTTAATCATCCTCGAAGCCTTCAGTGAATTGTTATCTTTTTCCTGGTGGAGGGTTTTACTTTGATGTTGATGGCCGCTGACTAATTAGGGTGGTGTTTGCTGAAGGTTAAGTGGTTGTGGTAATTTTTTAAAATAAGGCAACATTAAGGTTTGCTGCACTGATTGACTCTTTTTTTCACAAAAGATTTCTCTGTAGCATGCAGTGTTGTTTGATAGCATCTTATCCATGGCAGGACTTCTTTCAAAATTGGAGTCAGTTCTCTCAGACTTTAGCCTTATCAACTAAGTTTATGTACTATTCTAAATTGTTGTCATTTCAACATTGTTCATATCATCTTTATCAGAAGTAGATTCCATCTCAAGGAATCATTTCCTTTGTTCATCCATAAGAAGCAACCCTCATTTGTTCATATTTTATCGTGAGATTACAGC